CTGAGTTCAGTAAGGATATGTTTAAGTTTCTTCTTGTTTTCTTACTAAAAATAACAATAGATGATGATGTGAGTCTGTGTGTGTGTGTGTGTGTGTGTGTGTGTGTGTGTGTGTGTGTGTGTAGTGCTGAAATTTATATTCATGGCTTCAAACTTGCTAGGTAAACATTCTAGCATGAGAACAAGATGAATATTTTATAGACTAAGTTGCTCATTTATCTGGTATCACCAGACAAATGTTTCCTCAGAATAGAAATTCACTCCCATTACTTTACAAACTCCTGGTATTGACTAGCTATTCTTTCAGAGACAAAGTATAACCCTTATCATTTATACCTGGAATTAATGAGAACACTCTTTTTCTTTTGAAATTCTTCCATCTTTTTTTTGGGGGGGGGTCCTGTCGTGGGGCCTGAACTCTGGGCCTGAGCACTGTCCCTCAGCTCTTCAGCTCAAGGCTAGCACTCTACCACTTGAGCCACAGCGCCACTTCCGGCTTTTTTCTTTTTGCTTATGTGGTGCTAAGGAATCGAACCCAGGGCCTCATACATGCAAGGCAAGCACTCTACCACTGAGCCACCTTCCCAGCCCCAGAACACTCTTTTAATCTTTAATGCTCATACAACCCTGTTTTCAAGTAGAGTAAAATAAGATTTCCTGAAACTATTTCTCTGCACTACAGCCCTCTATTTTGTACTTTGGCATTTGTAGGAAAAGGAGAGTGTTGGGCAGACTGTGTCTTCTGAGGGAGCTGGGAAGGTTTGTATTATAGGGAAGATCCCCAGATTTCAGCTATTGCCTTCCACCATTCCATTCCCAGATGAGTGGCTTCAGATTAATAGCTTAACATCTCATCATGTTTCCCCTTGGGCAGCACATGAATTAGGTGAATGTGGTATCAAATTGGCAATGACAGATACAAAGTAAAAGTAAATCGAGGCAGGAGCTATGTTTATACATTTACTAGAAGGGTTCTGTGGAGTCCTCTGGAGTGGCAAAAGAGACAGTGAAATTTATGAGCTTTGCACTCACAGGGATTGTCAGTAAACACTGTGTAAGGGCCGTTTTTGTTTTTTCTTTGCCTTTCTTTCTGTTTCTTTCTTTTTCCCATGTGCTCCTCAATCTGTGATGACTGGGGATTTCCCACTTTTAGGGAGATATTTCTGAGAAACTCATTGACTTCATGTGGTTGCCCTTTATATGTCAGGGATTTGTTTTCCTTACATGTGATTATGGCTTTGCACCTTGTCTTCATTTCACTTTTATTAACTATTGATGAATCTGTTGTTTAGTAAAGGATATTTGTCTTTGGGAGCAGTTTAGTATAACAGATCATGGAAGCTTCATCCAGAGCCTGAACCCCTATTTCCAATTTGATTTTTCCATGAGTATGATGGTGGTAATTATAGCCATGCTGTAAAGAGTAACTGTGAGAATGTGGGGGCTTGTGAAAGTATGCTTGATCAGGTCATCGTTAGTAATTTGCCTTTATTTTGCTTAAAAATCTGATAAAATTAATAATTGGCATACTAGTTTCATATGTATATCAAATTACCATAGCCAAATTTTTCTACTGCAGATCTAGAGATCAGAATTTCAAAATTGGACACAGCTAGCTAAAGTCATAGTGCTGAGAGGTCTGGATTACTTCCTGGAAGCATTCAGAGATCATTTGAGTTTTCTAGGGAGCCAGCCATAGTCCTGGGCCTGTGGTTTCCTTTAACTTCAATTGCAAGGAGTAAATCATTATGATCTCTGTTTCCAAAATTATATCTTCTCTGACTCTCCTTCCTCACTCCTTTCTCCTAAGGCTTTTGTGATTACAAATCCCAAGTAATCACTTCATTGTGGAATCCTAAATCACATCTTCAAGGCCTTTTGCCTTATAAGGAAGTACATGCAGATTTCTAGAGATTAGGCTATAGAGTTCTTTGAGTGTGTATTGGGAGGCAGCTCTGCTGCCCATTAATATTATCTGAATCGACTATGGCATTAAGTTTAATATAGTAGTAAATTAACAAGTCTACTTGATTTATTGTTTAATATACCAAAAGTGAGGCACGTGTTTTCTGGTTATTAAAAGCAGATGAAAATTTGTTGCTAAAGTAAATCATACATAATGGCTTTCTGTGTATGTGTTTAATGAATAAATTAAAAATATACTTAACATCTATAATATAATCTCAGCATGTACAATAACACTTGAAGAGCTAGTTATCTTTCTATAGTAATTAAGGTCTATTAGAAAGGAGAGTTGTCATTGCTTTTTCTGGATCAGAAGAGAAGAAAAATGATCTTCACCTATCATCATGTTATACTGTTGTCTTAATTACTCTATGTCCAAGTATCTTGAGTTTAAACCACATGAGGTAATTATCTTGAATTTGTGTGTAAATACCTCACTTTGTCAACTTTGTCATATACCCTTTTTAATACTATTAGATTTTAAAAAGTTATTCATTTTTTGTTTCCTGCAACCAATTTTCTTTGCATAAAATGTGGGATGGGATTTATTTCATTGTAGTTTTGATTGTAAATGTATATAAAGCTTTGCATTTTATATACTGAGCATTTTTATAATAAACCCATAATTATGTTTAAGGAATACTATTAAAAGTATATTTTCTTAGAGAAAACAATCTGCATTACGATTGACTGCATTACTTGTTTTTAATAAGCCAGTCATTCTTTCAAATGATGGTAGTGTACAGGTAATAAGCTACAATAACAGTGTTAATCATATAGACTTGCTTTGCAGAAGTATGAGAGAAATGACTTATAAACTAAACAAGCTGCTGAGGAATGTGAAGGAATATGAAATCATAAAGTAATATCACCACAGGCTATTTTAAGATCAATGTCCTAATGGCATTAAACATGACCTTTCTGATATGGGAGAGCCCAGGGAAGGGATCTAAAGGGACAAAGGACTGGGCTGGGAGTGAGTGGAAGAGAAGGTGAACAAATGACTACTTGTCTGTACAACTAAAACAGGTTATCATCTCAGAATGTAACATGCTCAGAACACCGTGTGCCAGTGGGTCATGAATTATACATTCCGGCAGATACTAACAAAATGTGGTACAACTTTCCTAAGTATATTCAGATTAGTATGGGGACACAGAAAGGAGAGCAGAGAAGTACAGGGATAGCTTCTGGGGCAACCTTGATGAATGATAATGTTGGATGACTCAAGACCAACAGCTGTGAACATGATAGGAAATAAACACGTTTCATTTAAATTATTTTATACTTTTTGGCTAAGACATTAAAATTTCCTTAATATAAAAAAGAGATGTATTCTCCCCCTCTTTTTATAGTTTAATTTACTAAAGACATTTTAGAGTGCACAATAAAATAAAATTTATTTTATATGAATAGACTTTAACAAAGATATTTGTAAAGCAATATTAATTTTCAATTATCCTTAATAGACAGAATGGAGACTAAATGAGTGGATTGGGTAGCCAAGCCTCAGGGACAAGACCTTTGACCACAGGTATGTTGGGTTGTTTACAGAGTAACTGGGACATATTAATCAGTGAGAAACTTGAAGCCAGCTAAGTTTTGATGCTAGAATCTTATTCTTGCAGTAGATTTCATTTATTTTAGGTTTGCTGGTTCTATTTGTCACTTTCCACTGTTGCTACAATTTTTAACCTTTGTCAAGCTAGTTGTGAGTTCAGCATGACAGGGGACAATCAGCTACAGTTTAATTGTATAAATATTGAATAATTCTTGAGAGTAAGCATACCACAGACAAATGCTTGATGTTTATCTGAACATCAAGCATTGAACAACAATGACATTTGGACGTTTATATTACTAAATCTGGCAAACCTATTTGGAAGGGCTAAGGATATTTCTGTGAATGGAAAGATACAAATACAACTGAATTTCAGCATGTATTTTAGCTTTCCTCAATAGACTCTCAATCTTACATGTATAAATATTTTTCTTTCAAATCACTAAAATGTACCATTGTGTGAAAGTATATTATTTATATATGAGGTTGTTGTCTTCTTTTTTTCTTTATAATAAATCTTTAATGGATCTGGGAAGAGAAAGAGAATCACACACACACACACACACACACACACACACACACACACACAAATACACATACTCAGTTTTGTAAACTTTTTACCTGTTGCTCTTTGCTCCATAGCTCTCCAATCCTTAGTTAAGCTTTGGATTTAGTGCCTATAAACATTAACAGACATTTAGCTTAGTTGACTTCTTGCTCCTGTATGTCTCTTGCTGCCATAGGTACAAGATTATATATTTAACTTCTTTAGCCTATTTTCAAAAATGTATTAACAATGGAAAGAGTGCTGACTCAATTGGTAGCATAATCAGTGCTGTGATTTGGTTTTGCTTTTTTCTGGTGGTTGTTATAATTATTGGGACATGTTACAGAGTAAGGAAACTACATGAAAAAAATGGTGAATAGAAGGTATGGATAAATAAATATTAGATAACAAGATCCTGCTGGCAATACTGAAGAAGCTCAATCTTTAGATATTTAAAAAATAAACAAGATCATGGGGAAAATTTTGTTCACAAAGCCCTACAAAATTCTGAACTCTTTATTTACTAATTTACCCATCTCACTTACCTATACCTCCTTCAAATGATCAGTGACTCAATATTACCTGTACTAGTATTTTCTTAGCCATTCTATGGGTATGAGAAACAGAACAGAAACGCTAAAGTCCTACTCAGGTATAGACTGAATCTATATTGTTATCCAATTTCTATGCAATTACACATGACAGGATAAGGGCTATTGTACACCAGAGAGAAGTTACTTATTCATGATCATCATGGTCTGATGGCTTGTTTGTTTTTCTCTAGCATTCTCCCCTGGGAAATTATATCCCCACCAGTAGTCTCTGAAGTGCTATCTCCACGCAAGTTCCATTCATTATTGAAGGTGTTTCATTTTCTTTCTGGTTTTTGAGTTTCCCTCTTCGCGAGGAGCTACCCCAGGCAACGTCAATGAGAAATAGAACTTCATCCTCTGACTTTATTCTGCTGGGGCTTCTGGTGAGGAGGGAGGCTACAGGGATTGTTTTCACAGTTATCTTTGCTATTTTTGTGGTGGCTGTGCTGGCCAATTTGATCATGATAGTCCTGATTCAGGTAGATTCCCGGCTCCACACTCCCATGTACTTTCTGCTCAGCCAGCTGTCCATCATGGACACCCTTTTCATTTGCACCACTGTCCCAAAACTCCTGGTGGACATGGTTTCTCAAGAGAAGACCATTTCCTTTGTGGGCTGTGGCATCCAGATCTTCCTCTACTTGACGATGATTGGCTCAGAGTTCTTCCTCCTGGGCCTCATGGCCTATGACCGCTATGTGGCTGTCTGTAATCCTCTCAGGTATCCAGTTCTGATGAACCGCAAGGTGTGCCTTTTGGTGGCTGCTGGTGCCTGGTTTGGCGGCTCACTTGATGGATTCCTGCTCACTCCCATCACTATGAACGTCCCCTACTGTGGCTCCCGCAGAATCAATCATTTCTTCTGCGAGATTCCTGCAGTTCTCAGGCTGGCGTGTGCCGACACATCTGTGTACGAAGCGTTGATGTACGTTTGCTGTGTGCTCATGTTGCTCATCCCTGTCTCTATCATCTCCACCTCCTACTCTCTCATCTTGTTAGCCGTGCACCGCATGCGCTCTGCAGAGGGCCGAAAGAAGGCTTTAACCACGTGTTCATCCCACCTAACCGTAGTCAGCATTTTCTATGGAGCTGCTTTCTATACCTATGTGCTACCCCGGTCATTCCACACACCCGAGAAGGACAAGGTGGTGTCCGCCTTCTACACCATCGTCACACCCATGCTTAACCCTCTCATCTACAGTCTCAGAAACAAGGATGTCATCGGGGCATTTAAAAGGATATTTATGCGTTGCTCATCTACTCAGAAAGTAGCCACAAGTAATGCTTAGATCTTTCATCCCTTGAGGATTGGACTTCCCAAAGACTTCGTCCGTGTTTCCCTGTCAACAGAGATTACTTGGTTATCTGATAACCTGTGTTTACTATTGACAGTTTGGTTGGTTCATTCTATCTGGATTCTGGCTACCTAGATAAGGGCATTCTTTACTAATTATGAAGAAATCATTGACAAAAGAACAAAATCTATTTATTGCATTGTAAGTTAAAGCGCTAAGTTCCTGTATCTAGGAAGGGAACCAACTACAAAAACATCATGTCCAAGTATTCCATAACTATGCAAGGAAAATATTCTACAATATTTAATATTGAAGGACACTGGCTTGTCACTTTCCATGAGAATGTAATAAAAGCATCCTTAACCAGAAGCCTCAAATGTCTCAACTCTCTGTCATTTGGCAACAACACTCATTTGAATTCAGTTCTGAGAGAAATAATTTTTTGAAGAGGTGTGACATGGTAAATATACATGTGGATAGCAAATAAGGAAGCAAGGAAAAAACTCAAGAAGTTTCAAAGAACATAAACTTAGTTGGAAAAGAGACTAGTGGAAATTACTGCATAAGTCTTACGTATTTGGGGAACAAAGGTAGCAAAATGGTTACTAATTGGGTTTTATATAAGTGGACATAAAATAAAATTTTATTTGATGCTGCTTATAAAACTTCTACAGTTGGTAGGTAAGAGGAATTAAGAATTAAATTGAATAGAATTTAAATTAATTAAATTGAATTAAATTGAAGAATTAAGTTCAATAAGGCTCTAAAATTAATTTTATGTATTTAAGCCATTTATGAACTTAGCTGGAGTTCAGATTAAAGTTTGAAATATCAGTTATGTCTTTGGTAGTCTTTAGAGTATAAAGGATATTTAGAAACACAAGGTTAGTAGAACTCACTTAGGAGAAAGGATTTAAGTCTGGGACGGAGGCCACTGGAATCAGATGGGAAGTAAATAAAAGAATGATAAGGTCTGTTGAGTTATGAATATGTGACATCTAAGACATAAGTGAAGAAAGTGTAAGAATGGGCCAGCTCAGCTGTAACAAATACAGATAATGGTTGGATGAGAATAAGAGGTGGGGCTTGATCATGGCATGTAGCACTTGGAGATCATTGTTAACATTTATTTGAATGATTTAAAAGAATATATGCTTAGAGAGGGTTCAAGGTAACATGAAGGGAGAGGAAGTGGGCAAAGTAATTATTATAGAAAGTTTCAGATTGATTTATTTCTCCTATCTTTTTTGTAACAATGACAAATTGAACATAACTAAGACAGGTAATATCCATGCATTCACTGTTAATGTTATATGATCTTAGAGATCTTTATACAATTAAGGATAGTATTTGGTACAAAGATAAAAATGATAATAGGTTAAAAAGTGGGTGGGGATCCTGTGAGGGAGCCAGAATGCACAGAGGGGTTGATATGCCCATGTATAGCTGGTCGAATGGCTGAGAGTCCAGGAAGTGCACTTAAGGAACAACAAAAATAGGTAAGATCATCACTACTTTCTTAGTATGGCAAAGAGGTCTTGGTAAAGCTTTGGGAAGAGAATAAAATGGTTTTGCAGAGTGGCAATTAAATGAAATAAGAAAACATATTAAGATGATATGGAAGCCTTAGGAGCCCACTGGGAATTGATTTTATGATTTGAACATGAGCATATTTTTCAGGATACCCACTACATATACTCAGCATGGTACCTAGAAAATAATAAGCATTTAATATTCCCTCCATAACAAAGTATGGTAACAATAATGACTGATGATAACTGCAGTGATCATTTTTATGACAGAATTAGCATTGCCTATGTGAGGATAAGATATCATATTCATGTATGTCTTTCCAATAATATAATTTGCAAGATTAGAGTAAAATTATTATTATGAAATTTCTAAAATAATAATTTGCACCATGAAATTTAAGTTTGCGTTACTGGATTAGTGTTTGGAGACAATTAAAAATAGAACAACCAATATTCTTGGTGGAGTGGATCCTGTCTAATGAACCATGATTTGAAATCATAAGGTGACATCTTTTTAAATTAGAGTTTTGAGGATTTCTGCATGTTGTTTTGAGCCCCTCCACCCTACATACTAAAACTTTCCCTACCTTTTATGCAGTGAATCCTCCTATGTTTTAAGAGATTTCTCTAAAATATAACTCTGACTACTGGACCCATTGATTATTCAAGCTTTTGATTAAATACATATTTATAGTTTTCTCATTAATATTGAATTGGCTTTTATATATTCTCAGATATTCCTTCAATTTCTGATAAAATATGATCTTTAAATTTCTGAGCTGTGATCTCCTGAGGATTTATTTCACCTCTTTATACCAAAGATTAATATTTTTCTAAAAGTTAATCCAATGTCAAGTATGGGGAGTGCCTTTTTAGAGCAGGTATGCTCTATGTCTGCATCTATTGCTTCTAATGCTTTGAGAGCTCAACCTTTGTAGAGCCTTTTCCCACAATACACTGTGAGTAGAAATATAAACATGTTCAACTTCTCTGGAAAGAAGTTTGGAGATTCCTCAAAACACTAAATGTAGACCTACGTTATGATCCAGTATTACCACTCTTGGGCATTTATACAATAGATTACACTTGCACAAGTATGTTCATTGCTGCACTATTCACCGCAGCCACTGTATAGAATATATAGCCCAGATTCCCCTTATGTAAATGTGATAGATAGATAGATAGATAGATAGATAGACCAGAAAAATTATATTAAGTGAAACATGTCAGTTGACATTCTTATGTGTGTTCTCCATACACAGATATAACTAGAAACTATTTTATCTTAATTCAATAAACAGTTATAGATCTCAGACACCACACACATTGACATTTATAATTTTATCTTCAACATTTGTGTTTAGTCCCCTTTCCCTTTGGATCGTGATTCTACATCCAGAGATTAGAACATCCATAAATGATGAAAAACTCAAGTGACTGTTTTCAGATTCTATCTAAACATTCAAAGGGTAGGACATAAGACAACTTCTACCATCTTGTGCCTAATTATAAGACATTATCTTCAAAGGAACTGGTTTATTCTTTGTGTATTCATTAAAGCAGTGAGAGAAAACGTACAAATAATATAAGAGTGATTTAACAAGCACCTTTCAAGTAACTGACTTAACTTTGCTTTATCTTTTGGTACTGATGATTTTTCTTTTTTTTTCTTTTATTTATTTATTTATTGTGAAAATACTGTACAGAGGGGTTACAATTACATGGGCAAGATGAGTACATTTCTTATCAAGCATTGTAGCCTCCTCCTTTGTTTCCCCTTCCCATCCTTCCCTAGCCTCTCCACCCAATCCTCCCCCCTTCCCCCCCACCCCACCCCACCCCCCGCAACAAAGTTGTAAAGTTCGCTCATTTGGCATGTACTTGGTTGTCAAAACCATCATTGCCTGGACACTGTTGTTAGGTATTTAAGAGCCCAAATGATCTGGGTCTTAAAGCAGTTCCTCTTTTACCAGTCCATTCAAGTCTTGACACTTGAGCTTCTTTGTGTGAACAGCAACCTGTTAAGGTACATAGAGCTTTGTCATGGCTCACTGTTACTGTAAATAATTAGTCATCATTATTAGAATACCAATTCGTTTTATTATATCACTACTACCCAGTTCATCCTGGGTATATTCAGTATTATGGGTTCAGACTAGAGTTATAACTCATGCATGTGAGTTCTAAGGGACATAGATTGCTTGGCTGAGGTACTCAATTCTATACATGCACATTTAGCTAAGACCCAATCTCAACCAGAATTCAAAAACTACTTACTCAATGTGTGCATGTTTATAGTGCTGTTTAATTAATCCCTTCTGTTCCTGTTATTGTTTTCTGTACCCTGTGCCTGGTATATGAGTTAATCTTATTTGGGGAGGGGAAGGAGAGCACAGAAAGGTGGGGCAAAATGTGAACCAATTCAGCAGTGATACTCACTAGACACTAAGTTAGAAATGAACTATACAACTATTTGTAAACTATGCAAAGTTAAACCATAATTAAAGGGAGAAATTGATCAGCTGGGCAACAGTGACTCAAGCCCCAAGACCTAGTATAGACACACAGACAGACAGACAGACAGACAGGCTGAGACAGATAAAGAGACAGAGATTTAAAAATATATGATTATTTTAAATCTTTGCCTCACTGACAGGGAAAATATAACACAGAGAGCATCTACATGTATTAATTTGGGAAACACTTTTCTCAAAAATTAATTTTCTTCCTTCGAGGATTCTAGCATATTTCAAAGGATACCAAGCAAATGATAAATGCTTCAAGGACACTGCAATGTTTATGTTGAAAAATTAATTTTAAAAGTGACAAAATGTGGGAAAAGTTTGAGGAATATCATGGCATGTGGCTTCTGCTTGCTGACAATTTTATACATATTTATTCATTGTTTTGGGCTCTGTGCCATAGATGTGGAGTTACATGAGAGAGAGAAAAGAAACTGCTGCATTGCAGAGTTCACAGGCCCACAGAGATGGGTAAGTCAAAGGAGCTCAACTGCTTCAGATGACAAAGTCTGTTAGTAAGGTTGATTGTGATAGGGCTGGGAGTGGTGAGCCTTGCCTGGGAACGAGACCCCAGCAGACTCAGCACTAGTGAGGTCAGCCTAGGGACCAAAATATTCCTGTCTTGTCATGATAATGAGATGGATTTGATCATACTTTGAGATTAATCTAGGAAGAAATGTTCATGAAATCACTTTATCACTTCAAAATGAAGAGCTGGGCATCGCAACCTGTATCTGTTATCCTACCTATCATAATCCAAAGTCTAAAACTGGCTATTACCTGGACAGGAAGACAGATGATATCTCAAAAAAAAAAATTAAGCACAAAAAAGTGGCAAAAAACACAAGGCTGATTGGTATAGCACAAGGCTAGCCTGCAGAAAAACCCTGTTTCAATTCTTAGTCTGACAAAAGAAAAAAGGTACAAGTGCTGAAATGTA